GGTGAGCATTGTAACTTTATCATAGGTTATGATTGTTGAAGGTGAGCATTGTAACTTTATCATAGGTAACGACTGTTGAAGGTGAGCGTTGTAACTTTATCATAGGTAATGACTGTTGTAGATTAGCATCTTAACATTAACTTGTAACTATATACTATTAGGTCATCAAGAAATTAATGTCGCGTTTTGAAACACTTTCATTAACCAGCCCCCAAAAAACGTACATCTCGTATAATAGTTAAATGAACTGCCTAAACATCATGTTAGTGTAGCCTATCTAATGTGTAAAGTTTAGTATACTCTAATCCCTTATAGTGATGACACACATTTGGCATGTTGTGCTGTTTGAATACAAGAAGGGAAACAACGCCTCTGTAGCCACAAAAAATATCAAAGAAGTTTATGGAAATGTTTTGAATGGTCGTAAGTGTCAACAATGGTTCAGCAAATTTCACTCAGGTGACTTTAGCCTTAAAAACTGTGATGGTGTGGACTGATATTGATGCTCTGAAGATGCTTGTTGAGTCTAACCCAAGGCAACACACTCGTGAATGGCCTTTGATGACTGTGTATAAACATTTGATGATAAACTAACCATTCCTTGATGACTGTATATAAATGTTTGACATCAAAACTAACCAGTCCTTGATGACTGTGTATAAACATAGGACATTACGACTAACCAGTCCTTGATGACTGTGTATAAATGTTTGACATCAAAACTAACCAGTCCTTGATGACTGTGTATAAACATATGACATTACGACTAACTAGTCGTTGATGACTGTGTATAAACATATGACATTAAGACTAACTAGTCCTTGATGACTGTGTATAAACATATGACATTAAGACTAACTAGTCCTTGATGACTGTATATAAACATTTGATGCTAATCTAACCAGTCCTTGATGACTGTATATAAATGTTTGACATTAAGACTAACTAGTCATTGATGACTGTGTATAAACATTTGATGTTAAAACTAACTCCTCTCAGTTGATTGTGTATTAAAGTTTGACATTAAAACTAACCAGTCCTTGATGACTGTGTATAAACATTTGCAATTGAAACTAACTAGTTGTTGATGACTGTGTATAAACATTTGACATTGAAACTAACTAGTTGTTGATGACTGTGTATAAACATTTGACATTGAAACTAACTAGTTGTTGATGACTGTGTATAAACATTTGACATTGAAACTAACTAGTTGTTGATGACTGTGTATAAACATTTGACATTGAAACTAACTAGTTGTTGATGACTGTGTATAAACATTTGACATTGAAACTAACTAGTTGTTGATGACTGTGTATAAACATCTGATGTTAAAACTCCTCATGGATGATTGTGTATAAACAATTGATGTTAAAACTAACCTATTCTGGACGATTGTGTATAAACAATTGATGTTAAACTAACCTATTCTAGACGATTGTGTATAAACAATTGATGTTAAAACTAACCTATTCTGGACGATTGTGTATAAACAATTGATGTTAAAACTAACCTATTCTAGACGATTGTGTATAAACAACTGATGTTAAAACTAACCTATTCTAGACGATTGTGTATTCCTGCTTTCATTATTCTGTCCACCAGAAAACTTGTTGTTAATATAGAGAGATGACAAAGCAGCTCCCAAGTCTCCCCCATGATTCTTCAAAGCTGATGTAGCTTGGTCTACTGAGAAGCCCTTGCCCATTAGTTGGGCAATATCACCATCGAGAATCTGCACGGAAAATATCATATTATACAGAGAACCTGGTCTCACTATTCATGCCAGTAAAACATATACTATTATAATTACACATACTTTATTCAGTAAAGTTGAAGTACCTCAATACGTATTTATCTGGCCGTTCACTTAACCTTTCACCTAACTTTACACAAACCTTTTGTACAAAAAACTTGATTAATACTTTCTTAACGTTTAATCCCAAAATCCTTACAATGGCTATCAAAACAATCTACTAATCAACTGTTTCCAGTACGTGTGAAACACAGAAGAATTCTGTAAAGAATGTGTCACTGTTTACCTGTTTTCCACCACCAAATATCTTTTTCTTTTCATTTTTTATTCTGGCAACTTCGGCAATGTTGGCTTGCCTCTGTTGTTGGAAAGCTTCGTCTTCCTTTGGCTCTTTCTGAGCCTGATTCAAAGATCGGAAACCTCCTGAGAAACAAAACATTCCTAATTATAGGGAAAGTAGCTTTAAATGATGAAGGTTTTAGATAATACTACTCTCTATCATACATACTGTTTCAATGATGCTTCTTATATCAATATTTACATTAACTAAAAATGTGATTACCCATTTATTGTGTAATAATCTGATGGTGCACTCATTACCTATTTATTATGTAATAATCTGACGGTGCACTCATTACCCTATTTATTATGTAATAATCTGATGGTGCACTCATTACCTATTTATTATGTAATAATCTGATGGTGCACTCATTACCTATTTATTATGTAATAATCTGACAGTGCACTCATTACCTATTTATTATGTAATAATCTGATGGTGCACTTATTACCTATTTATTATGTAATAATCTGATGGTGCACTTATTACCTATTTATTATGTAATAATCTGATGTTGCACTTATTACCTATTTATTACGTTATAATCTGACGGTGTACTCATTACCCATTTATTATGTAATAATCTGACAGTGCACTCATTACCTATTTATTACGTTATAATCTGACGGTGTACTCATTACCCATTTATTATGTAAATCTGATGGTGCACTCATTACCTATTTATTATGTAATAATCTGACAGTGTACTCATTACCCATTTATTATGTAAATCTGATGGTGCACTCATTACCTATTTATTATGTAATAATCTGACAGTGTACTCATTACCCATTTATTATGTAAATCTGATG